TTTTCAGAGGTTGCTAATAGTACCTCCTGAGCTTGCTTATGGGAATAAAGGTGTGCAGGAAATTCCTCCTAATGCAACAATTGAGGTACTATAGGAAACTAGCAATATATATTTAATGTTCTCAAAGAGTTATTTATTTTGTTCTTGAATCATGAAAAGTGTCCGAATCAGTTGAAACTTATGTCCATTTTGCAGCTGGACGTTGAACTACTGTCGATTAAGCAAAGCCCATTTGGGTACGTAATTCTGGTCCTTAAAGGCGTATTCGTATTTTTTTCTTTTGTCATTTTTCATCAAAATTTGGTTCTTTTGCTACTATGTGTGTGCATATAATCAATTTTTCTTTTCTTTTTCCTTGACGGGATGCAGCTCTCCTGTTAAAGTGATCGAAGGATAATAATTGGCTTTTGTTCAGGCTAGCGATTCTCGGTGAACACATTACATTAATGATGCACATAGTTTCCTTTAAAGTTATTGACAAACTGGAAAAGTTGTCTCATTGTGAGGAGTATGCTATTCTATTTGAAAAAAAAAAATAATAATAATAGAATGTAACGATTCTATCCTACTTGTCGATTGGTGCTTCGTATTTCTATGTGTCGAATTCTGTGTTTTGTATTCTTTGTGGTTATGAGTAGATTTTGAATTCTATCGAACTTTTAAAATTATAATCATTTGACCATTTTAAACTATAAATATATTTTAAAAGTTAATAAATTTCGTATTTATTGTCAAATTTTCATATTAACGTATGAAATAAATAAAGACACTAACTAATAAAATATTAAAATTTTGATATCTACACTCAGTTCTCAAATCAATGACAAAAAATGAGAAATTTCATACATACATACCAATACAAACCTTCTAAAAATACAAACAAAAAACAAAAGAAATGGGGAGAAATTANAAAAAAAACCAAAGATATTTTACAAAAAGAAACAACCAATTAACAAGGAGATATACAGCAAGAGAGCAATAACCCTTTCATGCATCACCCTAAAGAGAGAATAAAAAGACGAGCCGCTGCTCGAACTCAGCCTGCCGGCATTCACAATATCATCCTTACTCGAGGTTACCGAGACATTCACAGACAACGAACCTGAACAGTGAAGAAAATAAACGAATCGCATTTAAAACTGCAAAATCATAGTTTACGCTGAGTTGCTGACTGTAAAATTCTAATCCAGTTACATAAATAGGCTTTCAATGTGTTCCCGGATAAGATTAGGTAAAACTTACAATCGTAATCCGCCCATCCTAGTCTCTGACGAGCCAAATCATAGACAAAGATTTTGTCTTTAAGAACAAGATCTGAATCCAAATGCATCACAAACAGAGCAGCATGAGTTTTTCTCACAGTATGCAGTTGGATAATAATAATTTCGTGTAGTATGTTAGTGGTAACAGACGACCGATGACAACTTTTCTTATTTAGTAAGAAAAAGAAGTAATGCCGTGTATAATCTGCATATAGACTATGTTTGGTAAAAGAAACTGATAAGCTAGATGATAGCTGATAAGTGATTTTCGAACTTATAGCTTTTAGCTATGACTTACACTTACAGCTGAAAGGCTAACTTATATCATAAAATGTTTGGTAAAATTAGCTGATAAGCTAGCTAAAATAAAAATTTCAATGAGCTTTATTTGAAAAGCAACCGAAAAAAGCTTATGAGATAAGCTCGAACTTTTTAAAAAAACTCGTCCTACCAAACCAAACTTATTGAATACAGGAAGTTTATAAGCTAACCAAATAAGCTATAAGCTAGCTTATTTGGTTACCAAACATAGCCATAATGAATCTCACTGCTCAAAGTTCCAGGAATGTAAAAGATTGGTTAACTTTATATATTATTTGCATAATCGGGATAGTATCTCACGTTCGACCCTACCTCCGAAAATTGTCGTTCCTTGATTCTCGACTTTAAGGAATCCCATGCACCACATTGCAGAACCATCCTAGGCAAAAGAATAACTAGAAAAGGTTATAATGAAATAACTTATAATAATGTAGAGAAGTGTGAATAGTGAATACTCACGACAAATCCCGTGTGTATGAGGTAGTCAGTCGGTTTTAGAACTAAGGATGCATCCCCGGCAAAATTGAAAGAAACCAGTGGCAATGTATTAGATACGCTGCAGAGAACAAATACTCGAATCGTGAATCTTTAAAGAAATAAAATAATAAAAAAATTCTACAGTCGACAAAAAATTAAGCAAATCAATAAAAAAAAAACCTTGTCGGGACAAGATAGCACTGGTTTCCTCTAGAGATAGTTGGTTTGACCAGTGGAGAAACAGCAGCTGTTATCTGCACATTTGATTTGAGAGTTTCATATGAACTAATTGTTCGAAACGTTCCACATAAGGTGAGCATTAGTTGCGTTGAAAAAATGTACTTACAGCATCAACAAAAGGATCATAAGCTCCCTCGACTAAGTACGCCAAAGTTGTTCCTGAATCAACGATGGTTCCTTGATTGCCTGAAGTCGCAAACACGGCTTGATCGATAGGTAACAATTGCCCGTTCACAGAGATGCTCTCAAGAAATAAATTGTAGTGTGACCTGAAATATAAGATAAAA